ATGTACTGTTGCACTGCCAGTGGCCACAGGCTGAGTCTGCATGACAGCCTGTGATCAGTGACGACGGAAAGACAAAACGTCAAGCAATTCAAAGCCATGTAATACCTGTTACGTGTTTACTTTAATACCCCTGAAGAAAATTACCCAGGGACAGTCCGAGAAGGAGGGCGGAAGAACTGTCCACCAATTTTTTGTAATTAGCCGAACTAAAAAGTAGAGAATTATTTTCTACTTTTTAGTTCGGCTAGTTACAAAAGCGTGTTTTTTAGTTTTTTTAAACTATTTTTTTTTTGTCATTAATGATGATTATTTTCTCATTAAGAAAAAAAAAGCAACAAATAAGTACATAATCACATATGCTTTAGCACACGCCTCTTAGTCGACACTTACGCGACACTACCGTATTTTGAGGTATGGAAAAAGCCGTTAAGCTTGAAGATCCTGATGAGGATAATCGGCCAAATTTATTAAATTATTGTATTGTAATCGGTCCTTGATAAGTGTGTGCGATGTTACCATTCAATTCGACGTTTGAGAGTGGGTGAAAATCACCGTGTAAAAGCGTGTTAAAAAGAGCCTGGTTCCTAAAACATTTGAAAATACGGAATGGCATTGAAACAAGACAGACGTCTAAAAGTTCGTTAATTGCTGCAACATATAGTTGATACTCACATATCTTAAGGCAGACCAGAGAGTGACCCGAACCAGAAGCCACCTAAACAGCCAAGTCGAAAGTTTACGAAAAGTAAAATACCCCAGGCCCGCAACATACTATGCTCGTAAAGGAAATGAAAACAAGCTTAACTAAGAAAGAGGAAGAGAGACCTTGTCAAACAACTACGAAAAGCCAAAGTAATGGGCGATATCCACCTGACCCACCAACTGGCCAGGGCTTTAAGATCAACACTAAGCTAATTCAAGGAGTATCAGAACAAATTGCAAACGAAACTGATAACATAAACAGAGCAAAGCATGAAGTGGAGTTTGATCGAAACCCTTACCAATATTCTAGAAATATCTTTAAGGACAAGCGCGGAAAACTGCTTCTAACTGCCGACCAGATCTACAAACACTATAAAATTATGTACAAGGTGCTAACACATTAGAAGACCTATCATGAACCAAGTATAGAAAGCCAAAGCCCAGCAAACCCTCGATTCAAATTTGATTGTAGCCCGCTAACCTAAGTTTTTACCTTCAACAAGTTCTCTTGGGCGTCCACATCTGATAAATCAAAATGAATTGAGTGATTTGATACGCGACTTAGTTTTATCAATTAGGCAAGCTGACTTACTAGGATCTAGATTAAAAGAGTGGAATTTGATGGCTCTTAACACAAATGTATCTGTGCAACGAAAACGTAATAAAGAACTGTGGGCCAAGTACGAGTTTATTTTACTCCTACTCGATCGTCACGGTGACCGCGTACGGCGCTACGATTGGTCCGCACGGAAATCTCCACCGATTGCAACGCTAAACGCGCTCGACGTCGACAGCGAGTTGATGTGAAATAAACTTGCAATCGGCCTTCTGGCTTCATTTTATTCAAATTTTTGAAAACATTTGTCACTGTAACGTTTCTTAAAAACGTTAAAGTTTCTTTAAAACTTTAATGAGTGAGTTGAACATTCCTTACGAAGAAGACACAAGACTGGCGTTTATTTATTGATGGTTCAAAAACAAAGTCTGAAGGCGGTATTGCTGCACAATGGCAACAAGCGTCAGTGCCAATAGCATATTCAACTGTTTCAAAAGAAACATATGAAAATATGAAATCAATGTTAAATTTAATAAAATACAAATGCTAGGATTATTGAAAGGCAAAACAGTCACAGATAAATGAAAGGTAAAAAGTAGCCTATGTTATCCAAAACCTATGGTCGCTGAGCAAATTGATTTAGTTACCTCTAATCTAGAAAAAGTATTCGGTGCGAAGTCTGTTAAGATTGTATAGAATATAGGATTTGGGTTTACGAGTTTATTGCAAGTATTTAGAGAAATAATAATAAGGATAAATTAGAAACAACTGTCTGTGTCAATGTAGTTCCACCATGTCGTGTTCGAATGGATCCCATGAACGTATGCAATGATCAATGTCATAAGGCTATCTCTATCTCACTGTCAGTTCCGTAATAACAATATCGTTTATATTAATGACTATAATTATGTACACATTTCGTTACATACACGAATACATAACAAATCAAAGAATGCAATATAAATGCAATATACTTCTAGAAAAGACGATGGATAACACAGTGATTTAGATGTTATTAATTTACTTTCCTTAGTTAGTAGTAGTTAATTTTCTTTCCTCTTTTTTTTCCAGTGCAGAAACACGGGCCGGTGGGGTGGTTATTACTGGTTATGTCGGACTCGAACCGGTTAAAAACCGCATGCGGTTTCGGATACTAGTGGCCGGGGAACCAATTTTTTTTTGTAGGTTACACCAACCTACAAAATAAATTCCACGGACTCCGGAAATTCTTTGACTCGTAGATGACCTCCTCGTGTTTGGGAACCACGGTGTTCCCTTCCTACTTTCGCACTTCCAAAAGGGCGCGCAGGCTTTTTAAGGGCCCTTCTGCTTCTGCTAGGGTGTCAGATGGCCTCACCTGTCACTCCCAGGCTTCCTATTATCCCCTGATCTTATAAACGAGGAAAGATGCAATTAAAATCTCATTCCATCCGAGGAAGATGGGCAAAATACCGTAAGGAGTAAAGGAAAAAAACAAAAGATATAAACATGTACTGTAAAACAAAAACATTACATGCCCTTTATTATTGTAATATTAATATTAGAAGAACAACTGCTGGTTACAACAGTAACCAGTGTCCATAACGTTACACCTATTGTAAAAAACTATCTGGACGATATCTCCGAAGTTAATCGCAGTTGCAATAAGACACTTCGATTAACTTCGGAGATATCGTTTGTAGAAACGCATATCGATCGGTGATTTTAATGTAAAATACTTTTAAAAACTTGTTTCATTTCTAGAGGTGTAAGTAAAATTATGAAAAATTATTAGAAAAAATATAAGAATTAGATTCTTATACTTCTAGATTCTTATAATTTTGGAAAACGAAAATATAAGTTAGCTTTATTTCTATGTAAATAATCTAAGGCCTAGGGCCGCAAATAAGTTAAAATGAGCACACACAAGCACACGTATTGTTATTTATTGATGGTTTTAATCATTTTTGCGAAGTTGTTTTTTTTTTTTAAAAGACGACAACCAGTAGAATCCTTTTGTAATAAAAAATAAATACGAGTGCAAATAAATTTTATTTGTTTTAAATTTGAAAACACCAGGCACCAGATTGCGTAAAATGAGCTGCGACCTATATGAGCTGGCTTGTTAAAAAACGGTAACGGTATTAATCGCGCGCATCTATAAACCGAAAAGGGGGACAAAGGTCCTCCACATGCCATGGTATGGCTGCCTACTGTTTGAGAAGCGGACAAGGTTTACCCTGCTTCTAGGGCACTTCCTTATTTGGGTATGCCTGACTTACATTTGATGACTTCTATAAGTTGCCACACGACGAAAAAAGGGGCAAACTGTACGAAAAAGTTGTCATATGTGAATCTCATGTCATGTCTTGAAAATATCACACTTCACAAGCCCATCTCTACCAGAGACCCTATTCATGAGAAATAATACGATGCGAATGATAATATCGAACTATATGACACCTGAATGTTTTTGCCTATTTTAGAATTACATTGTGCAAACATCCTAATTTATGAATTAATCATATCAAAAAATGACTCATTAATGAGCACAGATATAAAACCAACAAATAAACAGGTTAAAATAAGAATTGCTAGACGCATGGAGTCTGCGTGCTTCGGGTCAGCCGTGCCAAGAGCGTAATGAGGCTAATCACTCAAAGAACTACGAGCTTTAGTTATACAGATATACAGTATGTAATTTAATAATTCTTACATCATACTGTAGACGGGTAATAGACGCTCTGATAACACCCGGATGTCCTGGCTTGATTGTGTTTTGAGAATAATGTCATTTATGATTTGGTCGCGTCCCGATACCACGCCGTATCCTGTTGATATTGGTCCTCAGTATTGATTCTATTAATGTTATGGAGGTCATTGCCGTCATTTTTATGCCATCCTTTTTACTGAAAATAATTAATAATCGTGTCAAGCCGTTCAAGAATTTTCACATTGTAGGTACATACTCTCAATTAAACTACATATTTCTCCAGGTAGAAAATGTCTTTCGCATTGGATATCACTCTTAATCGTAGCATTCTATGATCATCATCAACAGCCTTTAATAGTCCACTGCTGGACATAGGCCTCTCTTTAGAAAGAAGGTTTTGGCCTGCTATACCACGCTGACCGGACGGGTTAGTAAAGGGTTTGTGTCAAGTTTTACTTCTCTTTGCAGTGCTGTTGTAATGCTTAGTTTGTTCCCTTAGGGATAAATAGGGGCGGGTGACATTCCGTATTCTTAATCCGTCACCACACGGACGCTTGTTTATATTTGAATGTTCACGTGTGTGTTGACTATTTTTACAAAATGTTTCGCTCTAGGGGTTAATCAAATCGTAGTCAAACGTTGGTTACGCAGATTTATGCCGAAATATTTGGGTCAGATTGCGATAAGGTACCGTGGAATTATAGGTATCGCTTGGTCCAATAGAAACTTTGTAATTTCTTGCAACAACGAACCATATCCGAAAGAAATATTTCGAAAAGTGGGTGGGTCTGGCATGTGCATGGGCCTGTCAAGGCGCTAAGTTTATGGGTTTTATACCAGATGGGTAGGTGGAGGTGAAGAATTTACCAGAAAAGCTAACCGTTAATACGATCTGCCACAGCGGTATATTTTCCAACTAGATTTGAAAATTAGGAGTGTTTTACAGCTATAATATATTCTACAAGACCTGACCTGAAAAGTTTCAATTCAATGCTTGATTTGAAAATTTCACAACACTTTTTTCTAAATATCTCATATCTCTTGTTTCAGTGGAGTACGTGGACACAGAGTACAGCTTGTGGCTGACATGGTTCCTGATGCCGGTGATCGTGACATTCCTGCTGCCCGCGGTCATTATAGTGCTCATATACATCAGTTCCATCATCTTCCATTTATATAGGCTTTATAGGTAAGTTAAATTAGGAATTATATATTTCTTGCATAGTAGTCAAATTCCTGAAAGAAAATGTTACTTCACACAAATATGATAGAAATTTATGCAAGTATAAAACAAAACAAGGAAAGTTTATTTACTTTCACAGAAGTATGTATATATATAAAAGAGAATGGCCATTTCAGTGTGAAAATCAGTTTCACACGAGATATGTCTGTTGTGTCATATATGTATAGACAGCATTATTAACGCTGGATTGAGTATTATCTGAAATATTAACCTATATTGTAACAGAACTTGGGGTTATTTAAAAAAATAAAATGTCAATATTGCTAAGAATATTATAATATAAATCAATGTTGATAAGTACGATAATAAGAACGAGATAAAAATTGTGACACTAACGTTAGAGTTTTTTTATGTTTGTTGCATTATGTTTTTGACAGGGATAACATGTATAAATTAAGGCAAAACTAACACTAAAGTATACACCGGCTAAATAAATACAACGACTACATACACGAAATAATAATAATATATTTGTATGTATATGTGTGAATGTATGTGTGTAATTGTATATGTTAGTTATAACTACTATTACAACTGCAACCTCAGTGCATCTACCTCACCAGATTTCTACACCACCTAAAGATTGGCTGGTAGAGAATGCCCTGGGCATTAAGTCCGCTGTTGTACACGAGTGCATAAAGATGTAAATAAAAAAATAATAATAAGATTACTATTTAAACATTTTATTATAAAACAATGTTTATCTGCATTCAATCATAAAATGCTATATTTTCTATTATGACAACATTTAACTTAAAATAGAAACGGTAATTGATTCTAGTTTTAGCCCTTGTAAGATGTTAGTTTCAAACCCCAAGTTCTATAGAAGAGATTCAGGGTCAAAACCAACATTTATTTTTTCAATTTGAAATAACGACGCGAATGTCCAAAAGTGAAACTATGAATGGACATTCTCCTTAGGTCTTAATTAGGGATAGATAATTCGGAACTTTATATCAGTTTTTTTATCATGGGAGAGCTATGCCTTAGCACAGCCTTTCCCAAAGTGGGCGATAACGCCGCCTTGTGGGCGCTGCAGGCCCAAGGGGGTAAGAGACCCTAAACAAAAAATGGAGGGTTGTGTAGAGGCTTGGGAGGCGATTTGTAATATCGTCTAGCTAGGAGGACTCTTAGACACCGACTGAGCTCTCGACTCTCGACTACAACTTGTGAACATCAACTAATATTAATTAAGAGATTGCTCAAATTCTGTTCGATATTTCTCTCCGCGTAGTTCATATATCTGTCCTGTTTTATTTAATAAATAAAATTAAAATCATGTCAATCGGTCGCTCCGTTTTTAAATGAAAGTAGACACAAACAAACAGTGTGTCTTTCGCATTTAATAGTTATTAGTATTCCTAGATAGGTGATTTTCGTAGATAATATACCGCGGACAATCATGTTTTAACAAGTTTTTGTTAAATAGCCCGATTTGTGAATTCCTGTATCAATCGGCTGTCTCATAGAATACTATTCCTTACTTGTTGAGTACGATTGAGCGTCGAATGAGATAAACCAATTTATGCATGTTTATCTTATTCCTGTCGGTGCGTGCTGCTTATGCAATCCTATATAAACAACGTAATATTTATTTTATTTTCATTTGCGGTTTCGCACGTAATAGATAAGCAGTACTTAAGTTCTACACTTACTTACGTATTTCTCAAAACAAAACAATATCGGAAGTAAAAAAGAAGAGACGGCAATACTGTGCGGTAAGAGACGGCAAAACATTAAATTCGGATTCATTGAAAATTCCACAAACCCATCGTCGCCTTTGGGCCTTCTATGTCTAAAACATTTTCGAATAAAGCAATGAAGCCTTCAAGACTGCAAGATCATTTGAATAAAATGCATCCAGATAAGAAAAACAAGAATGTAGCAAATTTACAAGATTTTCATTTATATTCAGATTCATCTTTCAAGTGTAGCAAAACTATTTTGCGCGGCTGCTAAGCAAGATGACGACGGACTTCGAGCTTCGTACAATATCTCTTTGTTAATTGCTCAAAAAGGCAAACCACACAACATCGGAGAAGAGTTAATTTTGCCAGCAATAAAGGAAGTAATAACTACTGTGCTTCATAAACCGGCCGCAGATATTAACTGAAAAATTCCTTTGAGTAGTCATTCTGTGCAAAGACGAATTGATGGAATGGCTGAAAACATTGAACGATCATTATGCAATATTCTGAGGACTAGTCAATTCTCAATTCAGCTCGATGAGTCCAGTTTGCCAACTAATAAAGCATTGTTGCTGTCTTACGTGAGGTTTATTAAAGATGATAAAATATGTGAAGAAGTATTGTTTGCTAGAAATTAAGAGACCGATATAAAAGGCGAAACAATATTCAATACATTGGAAAAGTTTTGTGATGAGAAAGAAATTCCCTTGAAAAATATTATATCAGTTGCTTCGGATGGCGCTCCGGCTATGACAGGGTGCCATAAAGGCTTCATAGCGTACTTAAAAAATACAATTCAAGATGTCCTTTCTGTACATTACTATTCATAGACAACATTTGGTTGCTAGAAACTTAAGTGAAGGACTATTTCAATCACTGCAATATGTCATCAAAGCAGTCAATAAAATCCCGTAACAGCTCTTTGAATGATAGATTATTTCTAGGGCTTTGTGTAACTAATGACGAAAATATCAACCGTTTGTTGTTTCATACTGAGGCTATCAAGAGGCAATTGTCTGATTTGATTTTACAACTTGTGATAGAGAACTCTGTGATAGAGTTCTTGGGAACTAAAGATACAGAATTGTGCAACAAGCTTATTGCATCAAAGAATGATATAGCTTACGAGGGGTGATCAATAAGTAATGATAATCAATATGAAACAGAACTATTAGATTAAAAAAAGTATTTTATTTTTCAACATAGTCTCCTTGCAAGTTAATACATTTAGTGTATCTTTTTTCTAAGCCCATGATTCCCTTAGAAAAAAATTCTTTGTCTGGACCCTCCCAAAATGCCTCTACTGCGGCCATCACTTCACTATTGTCCTCAAATTTGTTGCCCCGGAGGTGTTCTTTGAGCCGAGGAAAGAGGTAGAAGTCACTGGGAGCTAGATCTGGCGAATAGGGAGGGTGTTCGAGCAGTTCGAACCCTGTTTCTTCAATGGCAGCCATCGCAACTGCAGCTTTGTGAGCCGGGGCGTTGTCTTGGTGAAACAGCACTCCAGCGCGCAGTTTACCGCGTCTTTTTGACTTAATAGCTTCTCGCAATCTTCTTATTTGGCCTGCGTAGTAAGAGCCTGTTATAGTGGCCCCCTTTTCCAAATATTCCACCATAATAATTCCTTCTGCATCCCAGAAAACAGACGCCATAACCTTTCCCGCTGAACTTGACACTTTGAATTTCTTCGGCGTTGGTGAGGAAGCTCGTTTCCAAGTCATTGATTGTTGTTTGGTTTCGGGATCAAAGTGGTGGATCCAGGTCTCGTCCATGGTCACAAAACGCGACAAAAAAAATTCTTTAGCGGCCTGGAACTTTTGAAGATTCACCCTCGAAATGTCGACTCGTTTCTTTTTTTGCTCGTCGGTTAACATTCTCGGAACCCAACGCGCAGAGACCTTTTTCATATGCATTTTGTTGACAATGATTTTTTGAACGCTGCCATAGGAGATCCCTGTGACCTCAGCTACATGCCTTACGGTCACCCTTCGATCGGCCAACACGATATCTTCCACTTTTTTGACGTTTTCTCCAGTAAGGGACGTGGAAGGGCGTCCCTCGCGATGTTCACCTTCAGTGGAGGTTCTGCCCAGCTTAAATTCCTTTGCCCAGCGTGCGACTGTGGAATATGGAGGAGCAGACTCCCCCAGTGTTTCCTCTAAGTCGCTTGGCAGAGGTACTTGATGACAGCTCTTATTTAATTTTTCTCCATTTTGATGTTTTCTCTTCGACAGTTCGTATTCAAATGAATGTATCTCCCGGTAATGGTGTCCTATTTATACATTTTTTTGAAGCTGAAGTAGTGGATATATAAGCAAGCAGAAAAAAAAAAATTGGGTTTTTGTGCGTTCTAGAAATACTCGATTATCATTACTTATTGATCACCCCTCGTACATGACAGACCTGTATAAATTGTTCAACGACATGAATCTTCCACTGCAAGGCGATGAACTAAATTTAATTAAAACAAAAAATGTCGTTACTGCTTCTGCAGCCAAACTGCTTCTACACAAAAAGAATATGGGCAGACGCGAGTTTCACAATTTTGGAAATACCAGGCTGGGTGTTGGATCTGTTTTCAAATGTCAACACAGCAATGTCACCTCAGCTGGAAGAAGAACTTATAGAATTGACAACAAACGTGGAAATAAAAATCAAGTTTATAAATGGCTACCAAGAATTTTGCTACAAAAACCGATTCCGCAATTGTACTCTGGATTGTGGTTCAACACGGTGGTGAACATTCAACGATTGGTTCAGCGATTCTTGATAGCATTCCTATCGTCATATTTGTGTGAACTTGGATTTTTAGTGTTGTGGCAACGCTGCTTACTAAAAAGAGAATTCGTTGGAATGTTACCGAATGTGGCGACTTGCGGCTGTTCTTGAGTAAATTGGAACCTGAAATCAACAAACTTATTAAACAGAATCAGATTCATCCTTCACATTAGTTTTTTTATAAGAATCGATTATTGCTTTTATTTTGAATAAAAGATGCTCTGTCTGAATACTATAAAGTTGCGTTTCAATACTCATTCTCATTGTCAGGTGTAGCCCGTTAGAGTTAACTTGAGACCTGAGCGCCGTTGTGGACTACCACCTATTGCGTTTAACTTAAGACTTCTCAAGTTAACTCTTGCGGGTTATAGTAAAAGTCTTGTTTAGAAAGAATGTTTAATCTCCGCTAATATAGCTCACAATAATTAATTAATTTAATTTGAAGTTATAGTGGGTTTAAGTGGGTGAAAAAATGGGGAC